TTCCCATACATATCACTCCATCAACGATCGAAGAAATCACGATGGTTACCAGACAAATCAAGTGTGGGGAAGCAGCAGGTCCTGACAATATACCAGCTAAAGCACTGAAGTCAGACATGGGAGCAATTGCGAACATGCTCCACGTTCTGTTCAGGAAGATTTAGGAGGAGGATTAAGTGCCGACAGACTGGGAAGAAGGATACCCCATCAAGATACCAAAGAATGATCTGAGAAAATGTGAGAACTATGGAGGCATCACACTACTATCAGTACCAGGAGAAGTTTCCAACAGTGTTGCTGAACCGGATGGAAGACTCAATAAACGCCCAACTTCGAGATCAACAGACCGGATTACGTAAGGATTGATTGTGTACAGATCAAATCGCGACAATATGGATCGTCGTTGAACAATCAATTGTATGGAATTCGTCACTATACATCAACTTCCTTGACTATGAGGTGCTTGACAGTGTGCATAGAAGAACCTTGTGGAACCTTCTTCGACATAATGGTGTACCTGAGATGGTCAATATCATACGGAATTCATATTACGGACCACACTGCAGAGTCGTACATGGAGGACAGTCGATAGACGCATTCCCAGTAAGGACCGAGTTCGACAAAGCTACTTACTCCCTTCCTTCTGATGGTTGACTGGATTACTCCTCGAATCCAGCTTTCAGTTAAAACCAGTCGTTTTTGAAGTCGCTACTGTAATATACGACGCAGACAAGTCTAACAACATTGATTTCAGTCGCGCAAACAAAACCGATCCTCCAACATAATGAAGGTGTGTTTAGTAGATCTGTTACTGCTCATCGGCGCATTGAAAGAATATGTGCTCCAACAATCAAATCCGAAACCACGCTGAAAAATCAAATATATTTATTTATATTCTTATTGAAGTAAAGAACAAATCTATGGTAGGGGAAGGTCAACAAAGTCCCTGATTAGGTAAACTCTGAACCATGTTCAAATGTTCTTCATCAGATTCCATTCATTCTAATGGCCCGATCATGTCGAGTGAAATTCAAAATAATTGAGAAGAATGTTTCAAATAAATCAAATTCTAAGCTTTTGGTGTCATATTAGTTGCTTGTCTTCGCAATTCATTTTTCAGTGAATAGCATATTTAATGTGGATATCATTATGTTACACATAATAATCACGCCTACAGGTCTGATTCATGCTATTCATAGTTGACACGTTCTTTCTTGCTGACTTCCTCTCCACATTAAGTGATGAATATGAGTTTTTCCAGTCATCTCATTTTCAGCTTCGAGGACCATGTGGTTCAAACTAATACAACTAAAACTGGTTTCATAAAATGTGCAGACCGTTTCACACAATAGACAAATGCAGTACACATCAAGAACATTACTGCTGAAACAGTGGCTCGCACCTTCGTTGAACAGTGGGTAGCAAACTTCAGCTGCCCTTCGACTGTCACTACAGACAATAACTCCATTTCCAACTGCAAATATTACACAATGAATGGAAGCTCTTCCACTCATTTAACTCCGCATTTGCAATGCTATGAAATCTGACATTGGATATACTGTAACACAACTGGCTTACGAAACAACGCTCCAACTACTAAGACAACATGTGGATGCTTCATCTTCCTCAATGGATACGGGCCTAAGCTTTTACACGAGCAGGCTTACAAACACCATGTATTCAATCAAACCTGTTTCAACTTGACCTCAGTCAACTGATATTTTTGTTCAACCCATCTTACGACAGTAAACACGTTTTCCTACGTTATGACTCACTTCAACGACCTCTCGAAATGACATACGAAGGACTCATCAAAATTCTTCAGTGTGAATTTAAGTGCTATATTATCGGTAATGATGGAACTAACGATAGCATCTACATCGATTACCTCAAAGCTGGGTACTTAAAAGTAAATCGTAGTCATATGTATTCTGCTTCGATATAATCGAAAGACATGAGTCTCACAACTATGATGCCTCATCCGATAATCAAAAATCACGATGAAACGTCATTGGTGCCCAACAACCGACTTAAAACAACGCGTTTCCGGAACACTATAAATGTCACTGACTAGCATTTTGTTCTATCTCGTTTGTTTGTATTGTTACGCCAAAAGAAACTGAAGACAAACAATACATTATCAGATATCATGATATGTGTATGTATACTTTTAACGAAAAATGTCCAAAAGGAATACATTGTACATATCCACCACTTTATTTTTTTTCAGACCATTTGTGTCCTTATGCATGTACGAATGTATTTCGACATGCACTCACAATCTCTTTTTTTTTCCTGGACGGCTGGAAAAAATAAAAAACCGATGAGAAATGCGATGAACAGAAAATTTCATCGAATAAATCATCTACAAATTTACTTGTATTGCATAAGTATTTAGCACGATCAGAATTCTTACCTAATTATGCCAAGCTTGAATCTGTTACGCAACATGGACGCTATGCCATTTTGGAAAAATATTTGAAAAACCGTACTCAGTGCAGCACTAAAACATAGACCTAGTCACTACCGCTCTGAGACATCTGATTTCAATTATTTAACAACCCTGTTTGGGAAGCATACTGTAAGTGTGAGTACAGCAGTAGGATCTAAAAAATAGTTTTTTGGGGTCTAAACGTAAATACATCGCCAGTGTAAAGAAACAAATTACGAAAAAATGCAGCAGACTCATATATGTGCATTTACTAAGTTACTAATGAGCAAAGCGTCGGAATTAAACTGCTGTCATTTCTAACCAACGAAGATTTCAAATATTTCTAAATATGTAATGCAGTGATTTGACTGAGATACATACACTTTATATAAAAAGTCTTATTTCATCTAAAGCTTTCGGTTATACAGAAAAACTCATTTTGCGGATGCAACAAACTTTAGCGAAGTTGACAATTATTTTATACAGTCGTTCTTAACCGGACTGCTTGCTAACAAGAAAACTTTCCACAAGAATGAGAAATATCAATATTTTCATTTTTCATTTTTATTTATCAGAGTTAATGGGGCGGAATAAGATACTGAATCAATTACGTCCACAAGAAAGCCTCTGAAACTTTAAAATTTTAATTGTGTTAGATATAATAGATAATGTTTAGCAGGTGGATTTTCTTCATTTTAAATTATATTTTTGCCTACTACACACGATATTATGTACTACATATCAGTGTCTCTTACAAACGTTCACTGTGAGTTTTAAGCAACCTGAAATTACATGAAATCACGACACCAAATTGTCGACACAAAAGAGACACTACTGGACAAAGTACAAATAGTGCAGGAGCTATATTGTATAAGTAGTTCTAACAAGCTAGGAACGATTGCTCAAACGCATTAAGTGGAAGTCAATATATTTGCCTTTAATGCGAAATCTTGCTTTACCATGCAAGCTCCTCTTGATAGGGTGGAACCAAAGTCGTTAGGTCCTTAACGCACAAACAACATTGAAGGTAACGCCGTGGTGCTGTTGCAAAATACAGTGTTTTAAGCATTCCAACCGTTATGAAGAACCCATATAGGCAAGGATATCTGCAGCACAAGAGGAACTTCGGAGATGAACCTGATTAACCCAGTCTACGAAGCATCTTGAATAGGTCTCACATGGCCTAGTAGCAGGAATTCTAGTCTTCCTATTTATAGGAATAACCCTACACAGCAAGTAGGCTCTGTGATATTAAATTTTGACAAAGATACTAAGTTTCGGAGAGAATTTGACAACAAAGACGATGAGCGAGCACTTAAGGAAAAGTTTAATCAACTTTAAGGTTCGAAAGACAGCAATGGATTGCTTTTAACTCTTAAGCGTACAAAGTAGTTCATCTGCAAGATACTACAAACCAAATGTGTATTTTTCCCCTAGAAGTGCTACCATGTGTTGAAGATGTGTTATTGGTACCCAATAGTAAAAAAATCTTATGCTGTGATAGGAGTGCGTCTCGAGCAAACTTGGCACTAGTAACGCTGAGGCATGTTTTTGGTCATGTTAATAAAAGAACTGTCCACTTAATAGTTAACACTATGGAGATTCGGCTCTTCCTAAACCATGTTACGTTAAGGGCGCTATAGGTATTCGGAGTTTGATAACACATTCAAAGTATGCCAAACCAGTCAAATCAGAAGTCAGAAGTGAAGAGGTTCGAAGGTATATTTAGAGAGCTACTTAAATGTCGAGAAGCGTTTCGTTTAAGCTAGCTAAAAGTCTAAGGGGATGTGTAGCACTACGTACCCAATCGTGATGTGATGCGGATGTGTGGCCGAGATGAGTGCAATAAAATTAATGAGGTCAGCACCAATGTAGAGGAATAATGGGACTATTCTTGTTTCGGGAAACTTTTATTCACACAAGTAGAATAAGAAAATATTTCAACACATCCTCAATCGAGGCTCAAAATATATACAACGCACTAGGATCTGGCTTTGTAAGGAAAGTTTTAAATTGACCGGTTTTTATCTATGTGAATAAAATGAATGTAGATGTAGTCGAATACCCTTCAGAATTCTAACACTAATAGTCTTCTTTTAGTCCAGTTTGGAATTAAACTTTCCGGAAAATACACATAAATTGTAGAAGAAACTTGTAGAGTTGTGAGTTGGAAGATGTCATGTGGTGAGACCATAATTTATGGATGATCTTTGAGTCTATTATCTTATACCTCTTTGGTTCGTCCTTAAATTAGTCTCGTTTCCCATGTACATAATAAGTGTTCAGCTCTGGTAGTTTTAACAAATCCTTAGGTGATCTTAACAGCCCGACTGATATCCTGTAAGCAGAAATATTATATTTTCCCTAATAACTAAGTATTGTCACTCTAATTTACTGATTCCTTCCATATTTCAGTTCATTTTGTAACTGTAGGATTTTTTTCGACGCACTAGGGATTTATTCTCAGTTGCAATTTAAGCTGCTTTAGCGAATTCTTCAATCATGTTTTTATTGTTTTAACCCTTAGAACAGATGTCGTCAGAGCGCAATATTTCAAAATTGTTTCGTTATGCGTTACCTTAAGAATTTGGGAGGCGTCGTCAAATGCAGAACTATCCCGTTTTGTTGTGAAAACAATGAACTTTTCACTGTTGTGCCTAAAAAGAAAAACGTCCTCCCTCTAAAACCTATTGTAAAGTCTCCGCATAGTCTACTCCGATCACTTCCGAGATCCCCGTACACTTCATGCAGTTGCAGTTTATCTGGTAATATATATTCTCCTAAAAAGTATTTGTATTAGCTCCAATGCAGATCCGATTTGTGCACACGGACGTTACAAATGTTCCTGATTTCACGAAATACCGCCTAGAGTCTACTAAAGACCCTCATTCACGGGCTGCTGACAGCGAAGTGCATCGCAAGATATTCTCTTATACGATGATGTTTGGTGAGTGCATTTCAATGCCATTTAGGACAGATATCTAGGTCGCTGGTGCATCCTCCAAGTCGTACTATTTCGTTTTATTCTCGCATTTCTTGGGACTTGTTCTCCGTGTAATTCGGAAATGCGTCATTCGGCCTCACAGTCTGAGATGTTACCACTGCGTTCTTCAGACCGCCCAACAAGCTATGAGCACATTTAGGGTGGAGCGGTCTTTCACACTAGCACTCAGTGATCGTCTACCATATATGTCGTAGTTCATTATCCCAGTCCTTGGTGTGTACCTCTTTCCCGAGGTGTTTAGTAGTAGATTTTATTAAAATTCCGAGTTTTTGAGCATCCGGGTATGTCACCTTCATAAGTCAAGTTACATAAAATAACATCTTCATAGCTTGGCCATTATAAATTAGCTTCCTCAGACCAACAATGGAGAGGCTTTATTGGTTACAGGGGAATCTCAACGTCGGTAATGTAGGCTATTTGTATATTGCCCAATGATTAGTGTTGATAGTGTATGAACTCATCAACCCACTTACGTACAGTTCAGGAGGCTTTTATGGGTCAGCTGCTTCTTACTTGAGTTAATATGCTCAGTTCATTACTTGAACATCATTTTGACTTTGGTAGCTCAGAAACATTTTAGCCACTTCATAACATAATTTTTGTGTAGTCCGCCGCAACTGACTTGCTATATTTATATGGGCTGAATTATTTCTGTTTTATTCTGTAAAAGGTACTCAATTAGTTGCGTAAACAATCTTATCGGTCTCATTATTTCAGCGACTGCAATGATTGCCACTACATCAGCCAAGTACACCGTTAGAATGTTCATTGAACCTCTGGGACCTTCCTCTAAAACTATGGCGGAGGCCTCCACGGAAGTCAATTTGGCTTCCATCCCTGAAGGGAAAAATATTACAGTCAAATGGCGAAACAAACCTCTTTTTATTCGCCATAGATCAGCGGAAGAAATTGCCCGCGAACGCGCTGTGCCTCTGGAAAGCTTAAGAGATCCTCAGCTCGATCAAGATCGTGTCAAAGTAGATAAGTGGCTAATTTGTTTGGGCGTATGTACACATTTAGGTAAGCACAAAACTTATTATATGGTTAATACTTCGTCTCCTTAATTTTCATCAGATCTCACTGTTGGGACAGTATAAGCCTTTTTTACTTTAATCTATGTTGGTAGTTATTTATAGGCTCACTAAGTTCACTCATTTAATTTCCACTATAAGCTGCAGAAATGAATGTTATCAATCTTACATGTCATCCACTTAAAGTATTCACTGCTGTTGTGTTAACTCTCATGAAAACAGCAATAGTGTAGAAATAAAGGTGACGTGTACTTTTGTCTTTTTTGCTTTGTCCATGAAATGATTATTTTGTCTGAGAGTTATTTCCAACCCTTAAACATTATTTAGCTGCCTTATGACAAGGTTGTATGGGTTACTACACCGGTTAGAGAATACGATTTCAAACGGGATCTTTGAAAACGACAACCGTTACTTTAGATTGGAAGGCAACAGTTCGGTAGACGATTTGAAATCGAATATAAGAAACATCCTACATGCGACTACTGACCACTATGACAATGTAAAAGTGGCAGAGCAAAGCGACAAAACCTGTGACAAAATATTTATTCCCGATAACATTCATCTGGTTGCATCGTTATTGAGTGGTCTCTATAAGTAACTTATCTACATTTGATAGAACACAAGATGCTACACAAACGTAGTCACAATCCATGATGATAAGATTTGGTGCCATTTATCGTGCAATATCTTCATTTTTCCAATTATGCAGTGTTCGTTTGTATTCATTAGACAGTAGTTCGTCTTGTACTAATGAATCGATGGCAACTTAACAATAGTTCCTTTATATTGTTCAGGATTCTTGTCAGAAACCATAAATAAGTCCTGTGCTTGATTTATCGAGCACTCAAACTGGAATGTCGAGTTCACGGGCTAATGTCTAATTATAAAAGAATTTTCAGCCTGGTAACTGTCAGCCAGTACTTGTATTTGAATGGTAAGTAACGAAAATTATTTCTGTAAAACGGTCAACTGACTTGGTGTTGGGAAAGGTGAATCAAACGACGCAAGTAAGGGCACAAAGATGTTGGATAAGAATTTATTTGACTCCTTGAAATAATATATGAACACCCTGTATTTTGTGTAATTTGTGTACAGTCAGATTTGTATAAAGTGAATTGAGTAATTAACATCAATTAGTCAATAACTCACTATGTGAACGTGTTTCCAATATAATGTTATTAATCATCTTTAACCAACAGATATTTATATTTTATTATTTATTTAAACACATAGATATTGGTACAAGGAGGCACCAAATACATATGAGCCACACAAATCTCATTTGATATGTGTGAGGGTTGTGATATTGCCCGGGTGCCCAAACCGAAGCAGGTGGTTTTCTTAAGAGGCCACACCCCGAGCCTTCGACCTAAAAGTCTGGTCCATAAGGCAGTGGAGCATCGTAAGAAGATGCAGTCCCATGATAGCCGGTGACCAACAATTGGTCCGTGCTCCATTTGTTCCTTCAGGATCCTGGAGCCCATGTGCACCATTGGTTTGGAATCGGGGTTTTCCAACTTCCCTAGGTGGACTCTCCATGTCCAATAACCTGGTTAAAGCACCGGACCAACATATATAACTTGCTAAGTTATATAGCTACTCAAAATGTGACTACATTGCACAGACGATTGGTGAAAAATGAATTAAATGTTATTTGCACTCAAATTGACTAAGTTATTGCTCCCCACATCACGTTCCCTGACGAAATTTTATGGGATCCTTACGTGATAGCATTGGAGCAATGGTGGTACTTCTGACTTGTTTGGTATTTACTTTTGTTTTTATAGAAACCATTTTTTTTTGTTTCGCTCACAGACTGGAGTTTCACTATTGGTGTTATGTTTAAGATATTCGTTCCTGATTGTTCATTACGCCCAAACTTTTAAGATCGATTCCTCTCACTGAACAGATTACTTGTCATATAACTTGACTTGTAGCGATTAATTGCCATAAACTCAGCTAAAGATTGTGAAATTAAGACTAAATGTGTTGGACTTAAAATGAGGAGTATTTCGGAAAATTTTGACTGCGATGTCTTGGCTGAATTTGAACCGGTAGTGGCTAAAAAACTTTCCACAGACCCTGTTGTTTTACTTCCTCCAACTTTATTTTTATGTAAACTAAGATTTTCATTTAGGGCGTCTTCTTCCTGACGTGTATTTGATTTTGGGTAGATAATTTTGGAGTGGAGGAGTAGGAAATCTTTCATCTTCAAACGTTTTCCAAGATCCTCAGGAAGTAATCTGGGATGTCGTCTTTGCAATATGTTGATTAACTTTGTTAGACCTTTTCATGATTCTACTTGAACTCCATGAGATATGAAAACATTCAATACCTGCCATAACGACATCAGGAATGTGAACTGGATGTGACTCATTTAAGTTACAATTCTCACATTGATTAGAAAATTCACTGAAAAAGGAATTGCGAAGACAAGCAACTAATATGACACCAAAAGCTTAGAATTTGATTTATTTGAAACATTCTTCTCAATTATTTTGAATTTCACTCGACATGATCGGGTCATTAGAATGAATGGAATCTGATGAAGAACATTTGAACATGGTTCAGAGTTTACCTAATCAGGGACTTTGTTGACCTTCCCCTACCATAGATTTGTTCTTTACTTCAATAAGAATATAAATAAATATATTTGATTTTTCAGCGTGGTTTCGGATTTGATTGTTGGAGCACATATTCTTTCAATGCGCCGATGAGCAGTAACAGATCTACTAAACACACCTTCATTATGTTGGAGGATCGGTTTTGTTTGCGCGACTGAAATCAATGTTGTTAGACTTGTCTGCGTCGTATATTACAGTAGCGACTTCAAAAACGACTGGTTTTAACTGAAAGCTGGATTCGAGGAGTAATCCAGTCAACCATCAGAAGGAAGGGAGTAAGTAGCTTTGTCGAACTCGGTCCTTACTGGGAATGCGTCTATCGACTGTCCTCCATGTACGACTCTGCAGTGTGGTCCGTAATATGAATTCCGTATGATATTGACCATCTCAGGTACACCATTATGTCGAAGAAGGTTCCACAAGGTTCTTCTATGCACACTGTCAAGCACCTCATAGTCAAGGAAGTTGATGTATAGTGACGAATTCCATACAATTGATTGTTCAACGACGATCCATATTGTCGCGATTTGATCTGTACACAATCAATCCTTACGTAATCCGGTCTGTTGATCTCGAAGTTGGGCGTTTATTGAGTCTTCCATCCGGTTCAGCAACACTGTTGGAAACTTCTCCTGGTACTGATAGTAGTGTGATGCCTCCATAGTTCTCACATTTTCTCAGATCATTCTTTGGTATCTTGATGGGGTATCCTTCTTCCCAGTCTGTCGGCACTTAATCCTCCTCCTAAATCTTCCTGAACAGAACGTGGAGCATGTTCGCAATTGCTCCCATGTCTGACTTCAGTGCTTTAGCTGGTATATTGTCAGGACCTGCTGCTTCCCCACACTTGATTTGTCTGGTAACCATCGTGATTTCTTCGATCGTTGATGGAGTGATATGTATGGGAAGGTTTATAGGTGCCGATGGATTCCGTGGAACTGGTTTATTCAATAGTTCCTCAAAGTGATTTACCCATCTTTCGCTTTGTTCCTGAGTCTCAGTGATTGGCTTGCCTTCTTTGTTCTTGACTGGTCTCTGGCTTACTATATTTCTCTGATAGTTTCTTCGTTGTGTCATATAGTTGTTTCATATTTCCTTCTGCAGCTTTATCCGCTGTCGTTGTTAGGTCCTCTGTGCATTTCTGCTTGTCAGCTCTAATATTGCTCTCCACTTTCATGTTTGATTGTGCTTGTGCGTTGAATTTCTCTGCTCTTGTTCGGCTGTTGTCAGTCGATGTCTTCCTGTTCTTCCTTTCTTGAATATTGTCCAGGATTTCAATGGAGATCCATTTCTTGTGATGATGATTCTTTCGGTCCAGGACCTCCTGACATGTTAAAGTTAGTGCTTCTTCGGTCTTTTTCCAATTATCCTCCATAGTAGTTTCTTCTATGAGTCGATCTTGTAATGCTTGAAACTTGTTGCTGAGAACTATCTTGAATTCGTTGAGCTTGTCAGAGTCTCGAAGAAAGTCTGCATTGAATCTTTGTAATGCTGTTTACCCAGTTGTCCAGTGCTTCTTTAGCTTCAGATTCATCTTGGCAAACACCAGTTGGTGGTGTTCTGAAGCTATGTCATCTCTCTTGGTTCTCACGTCTTCCATTGACCTTCTGAATTTTCTAGTGATGCAAATATGATCGATTTGATTCCCTGTAGTGTGTCCCGGTGATACCCATGTAGCTTTGTGTATGTGTTTGCGGGGGAATATAGTACCATATATAAACACGTTGTTGAATGCACATAAAATTGTAAATCTGTCACCATCCTCGTTCCTTTCTGCTGGTCCATGTCGTCTCATGATATCTTCATAACCGATGTTGTCCATTCCGACTTTGGCGTTTAGGTCTCCCATAAGGATGGTCAGGTCCTTTCCTGAGCACTTGGCTATGATTGGTTGTAGCCTCTCATGAGACTGATTTTTATCGTCTTCATTGCCATCATTGATGGGTGCGCAACGTTGGATAACATTTAGTGTGATTTCCTCCCTCTTTGTTTTGAAGGATGCTTTGATGGTTCTGAGTCCATGAGATTCCCATCCGATAAGCGCTTTTAGTACTTCTTTGGACAGCATCAGTGCAACTCCCTGAATGTACAGAACATTTTCTTCTTCGTGACCAGAGTAGAACGGTAACTCTCGAATCTAATTTTTCCCGTCAAATTTGGGTCCAATGTTTTTCAATCATTCTGAGGTTCACCAAATATCTCCTTATTTCCGTAACTATTTGATTGGTCACTTCAGTCTCCCACATTGTCTGGACATTCTATGCACCTATATTCACTGTTGGTTTGGTGCTTATAAAGGGTATGGGCCTCATGACTTTCGAAGTATCAGCTTTCACCATGAGGTATCATAATTCTTCTTAATAAAGATGTTAAGAACGACTGTATAAGATAAATGACAACTTGGCCAACGTCTGTCGTAAATCAATTACGTCCACATGAAAGCCTCTGAAACTTTAAAAATTTAATTGTGTTAGATATAATAGATAATGTTTAGCAGGTGGATTTTCTTCATTTTAAATTCATCTGAAATATTTTCATGATATTCACGTATCTTGGTATGCGAGTATCACTGAAGAATTATTGCTCTAATATGATTTGTTCATAACATCGGTGTGGTTCCAATGTGTGATAATGTTGTTGAGATTTGCCTTATGATGTAACATTTATTGTACAAACTGTTAAGTATAGAAATTGGTTTTCTGTTTAGACTTGCGATTATCGTAGTATTTCCTCTCATACTTGACAATCACTATACCCATGGTTGATTAGGGTTATAATAGAAAAACAGTATAGAGTGGGATGAGAGTGAACTACTATGACACATTATTAAAAGGAGCCATAGTGAAGCATCATGTAAGGTTTTATGGACTTCCTTATTATTTTGCTGTAATCATGTTAGTAAACACGTTGCCTCATGTGTTGTGCGTTTGGACTCATGTCTTGTAATTGCTAACCTTTCTTCTACAGGTTGTGTTCCAGTAGCACACGCCGGCGATTTCCCCGGAGGTTATTTCTGTCCTTGTCACGGTAGTCATTACGATGCATCTGGTCGTATAAGAAAAGGCCCCGCTCCTCTTAATTTGGAAGTACCTCAGTACAAGTTTGTGGATGAAAATACCGTCATTGTGGGATAAAACGGTGATTCGATCTCCTTGTTCGGAACACTAATTATAGCGATATCTCCCTTTTTCATAACAGAGGATGCTTCTGATTTCTATTGAGTGTATTTTGAGCAGTACTAACTTATCTCTTCGTCTCACTGTTAGAAGTTACATTTTCAAATATTAGTTTATCTCCACGCTTTTCATGTTTATTTCAAAAATATATTTCTGAGCTTAGATGACAGTATTAGTGAAATCGTCGATGTACTTATTAGTTAGCCTTTATCTGACATTCCTCGAAGTCTGCTTGTGTTCAGGTAGAAGTTTTGCGTGTGATGTTCGGAAAAAAAATTCTGCAAATAAGTCATTCAGTTCGGATGATGAAATCTTGCAGAAATAATCCACTTGAGCTACAAATCTTCATCTCAGGAGAGATCATTTTTATAAACTCATACTAGGTACAGACTCGTGTGTTTCGAGCCACATGTTACGTGTGAGGGTTGGTGATACTAACTGGTTGCCCAAACCTACGTAGGTGAAGTGAGGTTTGAATCCGCAACTTTGTGGCTACAAGCCAAATGCCTTGATCTTTAAGTCACCGCTCCACTAGCCACATGGTTTTCTTTTATTGTTAGTTGAGTACATAAGTTATTCTTATTGTGGTGAAATGGGTGAGAATATATATCTTTTACAATCCATTAATACATGAACCAACCCTCGATGAACACTTGAATACGTTGCATACTTATTTCCAATTATTCCGATATTGATGCATTCGATGGGTGTGTATTCAATGATAACTGCCCAATCCCATGTACGACATGATTTCTGGGACTCTCAAGTGTGATAACGTAAAACCTAATTGACTAATTTAATTAAAAAGCATGTGCTTTCAGGTTGTAGTGGCTTGTTAATTACTGAAACCAAGTCTTGATCCTGTAGTTACCCCTCGTCGTACTTAGAAACAGTGGGTAAATAATGTTGAAAACCGATTCTACAAAACTTCCATGAACTTTTGAAGGTGAAATATTATAGTTTCTCATTCAGATGACTGAAGAGTATGTGAGCATATAAATTTCTAGGTAACGTGATGTACCTTATTTACATTTTCCCTGGCCAATCTGGTTGTAAAATACTTCACCAAGTTCCTCTGAGGAGAATAAATGATATTACGTCTTTATTGTACAGACGAAAAACTAGGCCATCTAATCTATTCCCGACTTCAAGTGCATAAATTCTGGGGTAATTGTTTGATTTATTTTTCTTGATAGTGTTGTAATATGAAGATAACAAAGAGAGCTAAATATGTGTAGCGTTGCAACTATCTGGCTGTATTTATCCCAATTAGCTTGAACTTGTTTGTTTTACGCGATAAAAGTATAAATTTTGTGAAAAGTTAGGTTTCCAATACGTGACACAAAATTCATCTATGAATAAAGACGTTCGCTTGGTTAGTTTCCTGTGAAATATTCTTTATATCACTGCATATTCCTTAAGTGTTGTGAGGAATTAATACCCGTTTGCTACTATTAAGCCATTCATCTCTAACGACCTTGCTTCTGACGGGTTTTATTATTCTTATGTTCACGTTTGTTTCTACGAAGGTTTCGCTCATTCGACTTCTGACCGTGTGACTGGTTGACCTTTTCTGCGTGGATTGCCTAATTGGATGTTTGTGTCCTCTGTCTGACCTAAATACCACCCTTCCACCTAAAGCAAGCCCCAATGATGGGCAAAAGCAATAACGAATACTGGACAGTTAAATTACACAGATCAAAGAACTCATCAGCATACCTATATGTATGTTCAGAGAGAGGATGAGGAACTAAAGTTTGTCTGGAGTACATTTACTGAATTTTGAGGAAAGCTACTTAGGAGTAATCGAACCAAGCACTAACTAGGAATTCCCAAAATAGTGCAAGTTAAGCCAGGTAGAACTATATGAACACAAGCGGACGTATTGTATTTGGGATTCGTAATAAGCGGAGATCAAGTACAAATGAATCATTAGTTCATACAAATACAACAGGGGTGATGTGCCCAAATGGTTAGATCCCTTCTCTAATTAACTTCACGGGAGCATAAGTGTAAAGTTCGTATCACGTTACAATTTGTACCATTTCGACCAAAAAGAAGTCATCAGAAGATAAACTCCGTAACAGAAAGAATGTCAACGATGAGATATCTGTGAAATAGTCAGTGTATGTCTTAATGGGAAGTGAAGTGAATAGTATATTAATATGAATTCAGGTGAAGGTAAAAATTGAATACACATGTACCGTTGTGATGAAATTTAAGTTAGGAGATTCTAGCTGATTCCATGATAACATTAGATGTAGCTTCAACCAAGTGCAAGTTCATATAGTTGGCTTTACTCCACGCTTTATTTTGTAATCTGCGATATTGGTTGGGTACCAAAATTTATGTAGACGAGATGTGGTTTGGATTTTTAACACATTACTATAAACTAGAGTCCTTTGACAATTGCTATCTTCGAATACTGATGCCTATAATCTCGAGTACATCAAACAAAAAAATATAACCATCCCAGCTAACTATATAAACTGGTCCTGTTTCTTATAACCACTGAAGGTGCCACAGGTATTTGAAGTTTGACAACGTATTAACCAGTAACACCTACTATGAATCGTACCCACCAAGTGAAATCAAAAGACAGAAGCGAGGAGATTCGAAGATATATTTGACAGGCTATCAATATATCGAGGATCGACTGATCTAATTTGGTTAGCGATCCCAGGGGATGCACGGCGTCCCCACTCGTGATCTGATGCGGATGCGTGACTGAGCGCCTTCAGCTAGGTGAGTCCATTAAAACCGATGCGGTCAGCGTCCAATGTCGTGGACGTACAGAGCTATTTACTTACCGCTACAGATCACTACCCCCTTGTAGGGTAATGATGACCTTAGGACGTGGCCAGCCAGAAGTTAAAACCCAACGAGTTTGTCTTTGGTAAACACTTCTGATAGCCTGCTATGCTTAGCAGCGTCTGGTCGTCTTTCCTTACCATATATTACAATGAAAATTTCGATTCCTCAGAAACTTCATCGTTTTCTTATCGTCTCTTCCAGCCGTCCTGTAAAAAATATGTAAGTGCATGTCGAAATACACTCGTATGCGCTGGCGATAAAAAGAAAATAAATTCATATACATGCGGTAGCGTAAAAGCGATTTTTAAAGAATCTCTTGCGTTTTTATAAAGAAAAAAATTAAATATACACATATAAGCAAAAAATTTTTAAATAAATATATAAGTATATACGTATTAAGTTTTTTATCATATGTAATACAAAAGAAAATCGAGATAAACCAAACTGTTAATTGATGTCTTACGTGCAATAATCGTTTAAATGTTCTGGATTTTCACATAGAAATCCTTTAACTAGTATTTCAATTGTAGTCTAACAGTTTTAGCCTCCTTAATCACTTAATGTCCAAATTGTTATCGATCGACAAAGTCCGAGTAGCGGAAATAAATCCCCATAATCAGTAGTTCTGTTAATCTTCGACATTTGATGCTGACATCATTAGTTTTAATGGACTCACCTAGCTGAAGGCGCTCGGTCACCCATTTGCAGCAAATCACGATTAGGTACTCCGTGCTACATATCTACAGCCACTAAGCTTAAATTAACCACTCCTCAATATTGATATTCTATCAGATATGTCTTCGAACCTCTTCACTTTTGATTTGACTAAGTTGGTATTCTTTGAATATAAAGGTATTACTGGTTAAGGCGCTATCAGTTCCGAATACTTGTAGCCTCTTTATCTGTCTTGAACGTAGTACCTAAACACAACACTCTCCACTCATGTGCTCAGTTGAAAAATACTTTAAAGATGTGAAGAATATGTATAATAAATACAACTTAATCCTTAACAACTATGTAAAGAGATAGGTTTTATCTCAGCGTACGGTTACCTGGCTTTCATAACCCATGATAGTTACTAGACAAATCATAAACTCCTTAGGTACAATAGGCTGGCAGGTCCTCAAACTGGCTACTTGTTCACTTGCGTTAATGTTTCTCACCAAATATGTATTTATTTGTTTAAACACATAAATCCTTGTACAAAGGGGCACCAAAACGTTTGTGCCTCAGTGAGAAAGTGAAGAGATAGAGGAAGGGAAGTGAGTATAATCAAAAAATATCGTATGATTAAAAATCCGTGAATGAGAGTAAAATGGTGGTTGGAAAAGCAGTCCATGAGAAGAAAGACAACCAAGAAAAACTCTCTTGGTTACCGAAGTCCCACTCACTTATGAAAAAAAAGAAAATTACAGCAGGACCGCCACTGGCCTCTGTGATGAGTCATGTCCGATAACGTTTCAGGCCATTGAGTTACACTGTCTTTAGGACTCCGACCAGGGGGTCGTACAGAACCCTTGGATGTCAGGTATTTTTGTTCCAGTACCCTTAGTAATTTTACTTACTTACTTACTTACGCCTGTTACTCCTAATGGAGCATAGGCCGCCGACCAGCATTCTCCAACCCACTCTGTCCTGCTTAGTAATCTGACCACCTCTTTTTGCAACCTATCCAAATGTCAGCGGATAACACAACATAGAACTGGTTGGGGTGACATTCGTTGCACATGTTCAAGCCATTGCAGTCGGTGTTTCAAGATAGTGACATCGACCGAGCTGTTGCCACTATATCCGAACGCATGTTTCCGAACCTCAGCATTACTAACATGATGTTGCCAGTGAATGTTGGCAACCTTTCAAAGACCACGATAATCAAATTCCGAGAGTTGTTGCACATCATCAACTTCGAGACCAGGTTTCACAAGCACAAGACAAAACTGCCCTCACTAACGTATTGTAAACATAACGTTTTACGGCTATACTAAGAAGATGAAAGCGCCAAGAATGCCCTAGATTGATTAACTATGTTAGACCTTTTCATGATTCTACTTGAACTCCATGAGATATGAAAACATTCAATACCTGCCATAACGACATCAGGAATGTGAACTGGATGTGACTCATTTAAGTTACAATTCTCACAT